ATTGGGAGCACATTGGGTAATGCAGTTTATATATGGACACACTATTTAGACGGTGGCTTTTAAAGTGTGCAGCATGCTGAGCGGCTTTGCTGAACACAACAGAATAGGCTAACCTGCTAGCTAGCCAGTAGTTGGGTTGTGGGACAACTCTTGTGTGAGAGCACCCCCACCCCCCTCCCCAGACAACACAACAACAGCAGGGCGTGCAGGCTCAGCGCCGACCGCTAAATAACACCTTCCTCCCCGGCTACAGCGCTCACAAACACGCATGTAGCGCAGTATAAACACGGTCAAACAGCAGACAGTGACATTCTTTTGCAAATGGACTGCTTACCTTTTGATTTTTAGAGTTTTGTAGGTTATTATTTCTTGTCGCACTTCCAATTTTTTCTCAGTTTACAAACACTGACAGGAAACGCCACCGGAAGAGCTTCTCGGGAAGCGTTGTGATTGGCCAGGCTCTCAGTCACGTGATCGAAGCAGCATGACCCACATTTACGGCCATAATTGTGAGGGAGTGGTGTCCTTTGATTGCACACATCCGAATGTGTTGTTCTGGTTTTCTTACACATTATATTATACCGTATTATAACGTATGTTGGTATATAACTATATAATAGGTATTTATCATTGATATATATATATCAAATATAATATTATAATGTGCATTGACCTGCACTATTTTCTATACATTTTTAGTTCAGCACCGGTTTCCGGCATAAAAAGGTCTAGTCATTGAGTTTGCATTTGCCAATATAGAATTAAGCAAACAAAAGTTAATTATTTATTGTAAACAAATATGTTTCTTCATTTTACATCGAAAAATCAATTCACACAATAAGAAGAATGACATATTTATGGATGCACTTTAGATATGTTTTCAGAACAGCAGTTTTATTCAGTGGATATATTTAAAAAATAATAAGAAACATATATCAATTTGTTTGTTCATTGATTCATAACAGACAGATTTTGATCCATGGTCATCAGATTTTAGTATATTACATGTTACTTGTTAGTATATCATTGTATTATGACAACTGTCTTAATTGAGCAAATCAAATATCTCAATGGTACAGTCAGGCTGTTTGTTATACCTTTCAACATTAAAATACAACGCATAATACACAACTTCTAAGGTCTAGAAAACACTTGCTTTGTTTACAAGTCATTTCCCAGTCTTTCAATTTCGTCAAGGGAGAAGTCCATATCTTCCTTGGAAACCAGCGTAGAGAGGACAATCATGCGGAAAAAGTTTACCTTGTCTCCCAAAGGTTGGTAGCCCACCATCATCGTGCCTTGCTTTATCATTCGCTCCTTGATGACTGGAGCTACCTATTATCAAGAACAAAAACACACACTGTTTGATTCAGAAGCTCTGCTGAAGTGAATGCTTTAAGATGGTGGCCTTGGTGTTTTATTAACAAAGCATGCAACACAATCAGTCTTTCTGTTCCCAATCCAGTGAGACTTACGTTTGCCAGTCTGTCCTGGTAATCTGCATTTCCTTCCTTTCCCCTCATGCTGGGCGGTATAAACCAGAAGCATACATTCAGAAACTCTGGCTGCCCATGGAGAAAAACAAACAGGTACTCTAGGTGAAAACATTTAATCTTGAGTATGATATGATATCGGTATGCTTGAGATATTTACTCACCTCCCACAAAAGATGAAACCCTTCCCTTTTCTTCATTTGCTCCACCAGATGCCTGCAAGAGGGATGTTAACACATAACAATACAATAAAATAAAAAGGGGCTTTATTGGCATGACCACATTTTAAACATAGTATTGCCAAAGCATTCCGCACGAGGCGATATAACAGAATAACATTTTCTGTTCATCTTCATTACAGCTCAACAAACAGATAGACGGCAGTGCTTTTATTTTGTCTCAATAGGATAAGGTCAATTCGAATTTCAACTATACTAGGTTTGTGTTTTACTTCAGCTGGATGCCTACCTTACAAGGTTAAACGCTTTGTCTACACGCTCAGCCAAGCCAATGGAGCCAACAGCTTTCCACATCAACCATAGCTTCAGACAGTCAACCTTGCGGCTACACTGTACTGTCTTGTCCCCGACATCCAGATTGACATCATAGAATTTGTCTTGCTGGAAGAGGTAGGTGGCGTTGGCACTGTGGCACTTTTTCAACAAGTTCTGAGGACAAGCACAAGTAAAATACTGTCACTGATTAATACAACGTTAAACTTTATTATGTGTATCAGATAATGCTGTAGCCTCAAACCGTTGTATCCTGCAGCAGCAAGGCAGAACACTGTAGGCCAGCCATCAGCATCTTGTGTGGATTCCAGGCTACTGAATTTGCTCTTCACACACACACACAAACACATGAACACACACATCAGGTTATTTATTTGTACCCGTAGGTAGATTCTGTTTGCAGAGAAAAAGACAAGGGTTCCATCCTAACACTAAAAACAAACACAAATAACAGACATATCTCTAATAAAGGACTAGTAAAAGTACAAGTATACCCTGCTCAACCAAATCTCAAAAATATTTAAGAAACATTTTAAGAAGGAAAACACTAGTACAAACATGGACATTCAAAATTCACAATTAAATAAATAAAAATAGGCATCTGTGTGACGCTCCTATGATGTGTTAATTTGTGTAATAGCTGCTGGGATAAAACTGTTTTTATACCGCTTCGTTCTACTCCTTGGGACAAGTAACCTCCGGCCCGACATATTGACCATATCTGCCTAACTGTGTATCTAGTTGAATCCTTTATAACAGTGAAAGTGTATTTTTATCAGGCATATTAATACCTGGCAACCCCTTTCATCAGATGTCTGTGCTGCTCGGAAAACAGCACACTCCCCCCCCAGGCAGCCTGAAACACAACAAAACAGAAAAAATGTACTTCAACTTTAGCAAAGACAACAGAAGCTTGTCCACTGTCTTAAATGTGTCTCCTTGAGGACCACTCACGTCTACATGCATCCAGACGTTGTGTTTCTCGCAGACATCAGCTATGCGGTCCAGTGGGTCAAACGCACCCCGCACTGTTGTCCCTGATGTGCAGCTCACAAGTAAAGGTACTGCACCCTGATGGAAACAAACTGAAAATGAACACAGCATTCTTGCACTTGTGAATTCAGGTTTGCAGTATATACAAATTGTTTAAACCTATAACTTTAAAATAATCACTGTTAAAACGAATTTAAGGGACAAAACGGCATGTTAAATATAATCTATTTGAGTGCTTAGTGAATTTACCTGTGATTTTGTCAGCTTTATCTTTTCATCCAGGTCCTCTGGAATAATGCGGCCTCTAAAGTGCACAAAATATAATGGAACATTTATTTTTCTGACTATATAGAACCCTGATTATCATAGTGTATAGGACTGAAACCAACAACTATCAATTATTATAGATTTTTAAGTAATCGTCCAGGCTATAAGACGTCCAATCATACCAAAGTATTTTCACATCGTAATGTCTCGAAATTGCTTATTTAATCCGACAAGTCTAAAAGATGTCAATATACAGATATACAAAATAAAGGAACACTTTATGTCCCCACATTTAATAAGATGAAAGTCATTTTTTGCCTTAAACTCAAGCATTAATTGATTATTAGAATTAGATTTATTATCAATGGTTTCAGCTCTTTTTATAAAAAATACATTACCCTTCATCCACTTTCACCACGATGATATTGTCTGTCCCAATGCCCAGAAAGGCAGCCCCTTTCTTCACAGAGTAATGGCTCTGGAAAAACAAACATATTTATGTGGAGACAACACAGTAGCGACAGTGTGATCCTCTGATACAGTTTCAATCTCCACAGCGACATAAACTCCTCAAGCATGCAGTGTTTAACAGCTTTTCCTGACCTCGGCAGATGTAAAGATGGTAAGCCGTGGGACAGCCCACAGACCCTGGCTTTTGACCTCTGGGAAAAGTCGGTAGCGTGCGAGGTTCATGGCAAACATGTTAGAGGTAGACCCCCCAGGACAGAAAATACCATCACCTTCTGTCCAACCAACCAGCTGCCGCAGTGATCTTAAAACCTCAGTCTCCATCAGCACAAACACTGGGGCCACCTCATAGGTAAAGCTGCAATTAACACACAAAAAAAGTTGTATTTCATGATGTATTCTTACATAATTTATGAACTTAATTCCAAAATTCATTTTATTTAGATTCTTACAGGTTAGTGTTGAGAGCCTCACTGAGGAATCGTCCAGCCAGGGCATGATAGTCCACTCCTGCAAACAGCTGATTAAAGAAACGTGGGTGACCTGGAAGAAACAAGCTAAGTCTCATCATTACAGAAAATAAGGTTTACTAAACATGTAAATGTCTCTGCTGTCTCTGGCAGGCTCACTTGTCTTGATGCTGTACTTGGCAACATCTTTTACTCTCTGTAGGAGCCTCTGTTGTGGCTCCCCCTCCGCCCTGAGCTCCAAATCCAGCAGCAGAGCCAGATCTTCAGGCCCTTTCCACTCACAGACCTGCAGGAAGAACACATGGACTTTTAGTTTTTGCTCAGAGAACTCACTGTAATCTGACACCATTGTCAATTTAGGCCACCTTCTGCTTGACGTCTGTGCCCTTGCAGAGAACCTCCTCTATAATGATTTTGAAGGCTTCATTCAAGAAGAGTTGGCCCTCTGAGTGGTCAATGAGAGGCTCATTTATGTCACAGAGATTAGCTGGATCCTGCCCATCTGCTGTTATGAGAGAAGTTGAACATTTTAAAAATAATTCAACCATTACAAACATGAATAAACATGCATAGCACAATGTACTTACATGAGAGTGGAAACATGTTTGCCATTTCCACACTTTCCAAGTTGGTGAATCTCTACCCCTTTGCTTGGCTCTACTGACAAGGCAGACAGCAGTAACTGTCTAAAAAGCAAAGGCAGAGTGAGGAACAAAAGAAGGGTGAGGTAGTTGACCTTTGTCCCAATTAAGTTACCTAATGTTGTCAAAGAAAAGGGGGAAGGAGGAGAATACAACTTAGAGTCAGCAAATGCGATACAAGTTTATTAAGTGTAGCTGTGAAACATAGGCACTATTATTCTTTCCTACTTTGCATGATGACATGAGTTGCCATCCCAACAGATACACTAAGAAATAAGGAACATTTGTTTTAAAAAAAACAATATATAAAGATCAACAAGGAACACATCAGCATAACTGTTGTGACACCTAATAATCTGCTCACTTGGACAAAATACAATTTCTCCAAAAAACTCAAGATGAATAAAAAGACGAGTTAAGCAAAACAGGACATAAAGCAATAGAAACAAGATTTCATTAACTTGTTTACATTACCTAGAGTATTTATTTACATTAAACTAAAATGAGCACAATTCTGTTGTTTGTCTTCTCCTTGGACTGGAAGGAGAATAAAACCACACATAGATACAATAAACAGAAAAAGAAAGAAAAAACTCTTACTTAGATATTTCATGAACAAAAACGAAGTTTCTAGATCATTACTTTTACAGAAAGGTAATATTAGTTGATCATTAAATATAGCCACATATGAGTACCCTTTACCCTTGGACCCAGTCCAACAGAAATACAATAGATGTTGTGTGTAGGCTACATATAATAGCTCTATATTAATCGAAACATATATGAAGAACAAAATAAGTCACTGGTACTTATTGGCAATGTGGGGTGATTTAACAAAGTACAAAGTCTTCAAGTGTGGTTTTTCTGATATGGAAAATATGATGGATGTCTATATGATGGAACACTTAAGTTCCCAGTAAAAACAGTGTCTCGGTCACAGCATGTACCAGTCAGTGAAGGCCTCATTTAATCTCCAACAGGAAGTCAATGCTTTCAGGTGGCAGCGCCCAGTCTCCCTGACTGAGCAGCGAGTGCAGGTTCACAGCAGTGGCTTTTTCCCTCTGACAGGTGCTCCAGTAGCGCAGCATGGCAAACACTCGCTCCACATGAATTGAGTTGTCCTCTTCAATCTGTTCTATCTTCACAGTAGAGATTTCCAGAGCCAGTCTGCCAATCTCCCTCCAAGATCTGCCAATGGTACGAGCCACGGTCATCAGCTGTTTCTCCTGAACCAAGCAAGAGCCTGTGCAATGAGAGACACATCAGGCATTGGTCAAGGTCTCTACAATGTGTTAAGGTGAATATCTTTGTATTGCTTCCCCTTATTGACCTCATGTAAAAAAAGATGCAACTAGTGCCCTTTAAGAGTGATCTACCAGGGAAGAACACACTTCCCTACATGCTACAAACCCCCACTACTTACATCTTGTGCTCCTTATTATTCTATCTCCCCTGCCCCTCAGTCAGCCTGACACCCACCTTTTTTGCAGATCTGTTTGGATGGAATGATCTCTTGTAGGTCAGGAGTTTCTCTCTTTCTTTTGATTATTCCTTGTCAATAGAGAAACGTTTTATATTTAACATGGAAATCTAACAGAATATCAATACTGAATACTGAACAGACTTTGTCCTACCTGAAGACACTGTGTTTATGTCCAAATCCTTAATAAAGCAAAGCATTGGGAAGGTTTCCTGCAAGGCGTGTTCATTCAGCAGTTTCAGTAGACCCCGCGCTGCTTCAGGCCCTCTTTGGATGATGAGATCCAACAGGTCAGTCACCTTCTCACGAGGAAAACGGCATGCTTTCACCTGCTGGTAGCCGTGAACAGACAGCAGGCAGCGAGAGTCTGCATGCTGCAGGACAAAATCAGCATCGGCGCTTAGAATTTCTATTAGCTTGACCTTCAGGCTTCTGAGTAGCTGGATTTCTGCTGCTGGTTCCTCAGCCATGTCTGAATGTTACTTCAATGAGAAAAAAAAAAGAAAAAAAAGTGTTGGTCCATCATTGAAATGCAAGCAAAGATCGAATCTGAAATATTTGCTAAACAAGTATTGAATTCATTGTTGCAGTTGTAGCCACTGGTAGCCAGTAATGAGAGCAGAGAGCGGTTTGAGTGTTGAAAAACTGTCGGGCTGCTGCATTCTGGGTGAGCTGAGCTGCAGAGGATGGACAGCACTTGCAGATAGACAAAGCAGCAAGGAGTTCGAGAAGTCAAGACAAGGCGTGAGATGACACAAGCCGGGACCAGAACCTGCGTTAAGACACTTCTGGGTCAGTATCCTCCTGATGTTGTAAAGAGTGTTTCAGCACGAGAAAGTTTAAGCAGCGATGTTGGCAGAGAAGGACAGTTTGTTGTCCAATGTCCCACCCATAGACTGTATATATAAATGGACGTAGGGTCCGTGACGTCACCCATAGGATTCTGCAGAGTTGCCGTGAAGCCCTTAGTAGGCGGAGTCGGCCACTAACGGCTCGACGGTGTCGTCAGAGTCTAACTCCCGCCTTCTCCAAATAAGGGCAAAGAGGCGGAGCTGAGGCGGAGCCGAGGCGGAGCCGAGGCGGAGCCGAGGCGGGACAGGGCGGGACCTGATTGATTGATTGAAAAGTTTATTAACAGCTTGTATATTGGGTACAGTACAGTACAGCTCAAAACATACAATTGTTAAGGGGATGCAGACCAGAGAAAGACTTTCGTCTTGTTTACATCAGGGTCCCCCATTTCCAATTCATCATGTCATTTAAGACATATAAGACATATTTGACATACAGATGGCTTATTTACAATTTACATACAGGTGGTTTTTTTACATACAGATTGCTTGTTTACAATTTTCATTTTAGATTTCGTTCTAATACATCCTAACCGGACATTTAAGACATACCAAGTCTACAGATATACAGTTAGTAACAGAGTCTAAAATGCGAGTATATACATAGATGGCGGGGGGGGAAGCTGTCCATTGAACGACAGGTTGAGATTTGTACCATTACCGGGGCCAGTTATGCAATGCTCTCCCCCGAAGGTGCTCTTTAAGAGAGGTTTTGAAGGTAAGTATAGTTTTACTTTCCTTTACAGTTGTGGGAAGAGCGTTCCACCTTGATGTGGCATAATTGCGAAACGTGTATTCCCCCTTTTTTGTGCCAAATCTGGGTTTCACATGATTTGTGGAGCTCCCTCTGGTGTTATGATCATGGTATTCCTTGACCTTTGGGAAGAATTTTGACATGTACATGGGTACCATAGAGGTGTAGTGGATCTTGTAGACCAGGTCCATTGCAAGTAGCTGTACTCTGTCGTCTACTCTAAGCCATCCTAGGTTGTCAAAGTGGGCAGAGGTGAGGTGGGTTCTAGATGAAAGGTCAAGCAGTAGTCTGACCAGTTTATTTTGCGATGTTTGAAGTTTTATTTTTAGCGCCTTGGAGGTGCTATGGTACCATGACGTGCAAGCATAGTCATAGTACCCTGGAATGAGTGCTCCTGCCAGAGTTTTCAGGGTGTTTTTGTTTACCAGAGAGGAGATCCGGTATAGGAATCTAGTTCTTTGATTGACTTTTTTTATTACATTGGATGCCATTTTGTCACAGGAGAGGTTTTCCTCAAGAATAGATCCTAGGTATGTAATTTCCTTCTTACTTGTGACAATAATGTCGCCCACTGCAACTGAGAAGTCGTCGGATTTGCTGAGATTATGTTTCGAACCGAAGAGAATGGACTCTGTTTTACCCAGGTGTAATGATAATTTATTATCGGCGAGCCAGGTGCTGATTCTGCCGAGCTCGGAGCTGAGGGTTTTTTCAACCTGCAACCTGTTCCTGTCAGAGACCAGCAGGGCTGAGTCGTCCGCGAACAGGAACAAGTTGCAGTCACATGCTGATGACATGTCATTTACATAAATTAGGAACAGTAACGGACCTAATATGCTTCCTTGTGGAACACCACAGCTCACTGGGAGGGGGGGGGGACAGAGTACCGTTTACCTCCACCATCTGTTCTCTCCCCTCCAGGTAGGATTGCTGCCAACGAGCGTGACGTTCGAGTCCTAGCTCAGGCTAAGAAGCTAAGCTAACATGCTCTCAGTATCAATCGAATGTAAAACATGATTGATGAAAGTAGTAAATCGGTCAGATTTGACCCGAAGACAACAGGAGGGTTAATGCCATATTCACTTAGTAACGCATGAACAACTTTTACAAATATTTCTATATAGTCTGTGTTGGTAAATGTCATCTAGGTTGCACATTTCCTGCTGAAATACATGCATACCAAGTCACTGCGTGGCACTTTGGTTTTGATAAAACAGTGTAGTTCCACTATATAAACGTTACATTCATAATCAAACGAGACAATCTGCAAGATAATTAGCTATTTGGTATTATTCTTAATGCTTGTCATTCACACGTTAATAAAATAAAATAAGTACCGATACACAGCAGAATAATTGTGGCGGTGTTCAGCTTAATAAGCCTTGCTCAACATTATTTATTTAGCTAATACTACAGCGGGCTGCAGGAGAACCAAGTCCGCGTTACGATGCATTCCTTGATCTCCAGTTATAACGCCGGACTCCGCCGCTGGCCGAAGCTAACGGAGCCCCAGGTGCTAGCTACGGCCGCCGGGACGCGCTAGCGAGCTAGCACCCTGCAGCCCCGTTAGCTTCGGCGGCGTGGACTCCGGCGGCCCACCCCTTTTAACATTTGCTCCCGTTTAGCATTATGGGCGTCATAGCCATATAGTATAAAAGTCTTACCCAAGGCTGAATCATAAACTAAACTGTATATATGTATAAAGGGTTACGTCCTTAGCTGGCTAATAAGCTACATAACAGGCTAAGCTAACAAGCACACAAACACCTGCTAACGGGGTTAACATGTATAATATTATCATTTTACTCACCGAAAAAAGCTGAAAGTAGACTTCTTGGAAGATCTGTTAGTACATTCAAGCGCACAGCACGACATTTTAATTATCTGGTATTTGTAACAATATTCCCTAACAGGCACGATCACCACGAACACAGCTAAAGGATCAAGTACAGTAACTACAACTAACTAACGTTGTAGCCTCTATGGTTGTAGCCTAGCAGATTGGACAAGTTGCTGTTAGCTGACAGTGAGGCACGTATCTGTCAATCAAAGTGACCACGCCCTAATGTATGCACAAACTTTAAGACCTAATATAAATATAAAGGGTCGCGTTAGAAAACAATTCACTCACAGATCCATAATCATGAAGGTGGAATCTAACTATATCGATAATAAAATGTATGGAGCCAGGGGTAGAAACAGGTTTTTTTCTGCTGTAAAATCGGGCATTTTAACATGGGGGTCTATGGAAATTGCTCCTTTCTGCAGCCATCGCCTATCGGCCAATATATGAACTGCAGTGTGTGGCACTTGGCTTCCCGGCTCTACCCCACAGTTTGCCGCTTGGTCCCACCCAGAAAACTTGGAGAACTCAGTGTTGTGAGTTGCTGACAGGCAGTTCTACAGGCTGACTGTGACAGGGTTTTAGGTGTAGGGGAGTGTGTGGGAAGGGGAGAGCGGACAGAGTGATGAGGATATGTGCGATGGATGTATTATCTACGGACCCAGACGCCGACCTATACGGTCCCGGAGCTATAATCAATACATTAATAGGGTTTTTTTCGGCTCCTCCCACTTTTTTAACGCTGATTTGGTTGACTTGTGTAATACGTGGAGAACAGAAGAGTTTTCGTTTTGGGGGTGGGGAGTCCGTCCGTCAGTCCGACTGACGGACAACTTCTCACTTCAAAAAAGAAGAAGAAATATAGACCGCAAACATAATTAAACAAGCGAGTACCTGTTTTTCCTGGCCAAGGACAGGTTCCTTGAACACAACACGAGCGTAACGTGTCTTCACGTGGTATATGTCTCGTCTGAAAGGAGTGCTGACAGAGAGCACCGGTGTCAGTACCAGATATGTTCGGCCTACCAAATATGTTCGGGTGTATTTCCGTCGCATCCGTCATCCGTCATATCCGTCATATACTCACCTCCCTCTGCTCCCAGCGCTATGCTACCACACACCGGCCGTCTGCGGAACTGCAGCCGGAGGAACTCGGTACAGCTTGTTATGTGTGAACGATCTAGATCCCTCCGCTTCCCCATAATTACCGCGACCATTTTAACTTTCATGACAGAAATGGAGAGCTTTTATGCTGAGATAAAGCAGTACGTGCTCAATGGTGGTTACCACAATCTCACCATCGCCGCTGAAAAGCATGATAAAAGGAAGGCGTTAATTCGGAGGGCATCCAAACAATACCTGATCAAAGGTAAGTAACAGAATAAGACCATGGTTAAGTCACGAACATACGTTTTTATTATGAGGTATAAACCCCCTGTACATGTGACATCATCACATCCCTTTACTTATAGGGATCAATAAAGTATATATCTATCTATCTATTTATCTAATGGTGTTTTTTGGTGCAAAAGTGATCATACCTCTAATGGTTTATCATATTGCAATTCCAACATTTTTCAGTAAATCGCAAGGACTCCACAGCTTGTTTCTCCTTTTTCTTTTTATACACACTTTACATTACTGTAGTTGTTACGTCTAAACCACATTTGCCACTGGATTTCTTGAACAGCTTTTAGTCATAATGTCATCTCTACACATGTCTAAATGATTGTTTTGTTGTTCCTGTTGTGCCAGCTGGAGATTTGTACTACACATACAAGGACAATGAGAGGATGGTTGTGTGCACCAAGGACCAAATTATCAATGTCCTGAAGGAGTGCCATGATAACCTGGGTTCCGGAGGTCATGCAGGGAGAAGGCGCACCACCGAGAAGGTTTTGGCAACGTACCACTGGTCCACTATGCGGGAGGACGTGAAGAAATGGGTGGGAGTTTTTGACTGACTGACTGATTATTGATCTACAGAAATGTGTTGTATGTGTACATTGAAACAGAGTGAGACATGTGTGGATCTCATTGGCCCACTTCCCTCCACTGCTAAGGGCAAAAGGTACTATCATGATGGGCTGAAGCATGTGTAACCTCCTTTAAAGGTTCTAAACGTGAAGAATCTGGTTTAAAAAGAAAGGAAATCATTTACAGTGATTCTGTATGTATTTACAACATTCTGCATTTTATATTGCAGATACATTCTAACAGCGACTGATCTGTTCACGAAGTGGGTGGTAGCAAAAACGCTCTACCACAAAACAGCTGTTGAGGTCTCAAAAAAGATTGTAAATATTCTTCTCGATTTCGGTCTTGTCGAGAAGATCATTACCGACCAAGGACGGGAATTTGTCAATGAGGTACAATAATCTATCTAATACAGTGTATGTGTTATGTGTAACAATGTAATACGATTTTTCAGGTAATTTGGTAATTGGTGTACACTAAACCATCTGCAGGTCAACCGTGGTGTTTTTGATGCACTGGGTGTAAAACACTGCATCACTTCAGCGTACCATCCCCAGTGCAATGGCCAAGATGAGCGTACAAACCAAAACATAAAAAAAGCACTTGCAAAGTACTGTGGAGAGGACCAGAATGACTGGGATTTACATCTGAGGGGCATTGTGGCGAGCATTAACACCTCAAAGCAGGTACAATGTTGTAACAAATGCAGATGGAAACAATACTCAACAGAGATACTAAAAGGAATTTTTATGCTTTCAGAGGTCAACCAAGTGCACGCCCTATTTTGCCCAGTTTGGGAGGCACCCTCGCGTCCCGGGTGTTATAAATGCTACAGTCAATGACAGGGATGATACCTCTGTTTTGGTGCCTGCTGATGAGGCAGAACAGCAGCTTGAGGCAAAGGCTGCAACCATTGCAGATTTGCACTCGAAGGTGAGAATAAAATGGCAATATTTAAAACATAATAACTCCTAAAAAATGCAAGCGTATGTTAAGGACTGTAAATGATAACTGTTACATATCTTTCTCAGATTTACCAGAACATCCAAATAGCACAACAGAGACAGAAAATCTCTTTTGAAAAACGCAAGGGAAAGAATGTGAAATCTTTCCTGATTAACGTTGGAGATGAGGTCCTAAGAGCGAATAAGAGGAAGGAGGGCCGAAAAGGTGGAAAACTGGAGTGCAACTGGTTTGGCCCTTATGTGGTTTCCTCAATCACCAACAAGGGTGTGGCAACCCTGTTGAGCTCAACAGGAGCTCAGCTGAGACAGAGTGTGAATGTGTCTCAGCTGAAGCCCTTTATCAGGCCTATGTTGAGAGGTATTTTGATTATCAATACAAGGACACATTTTAGGTATACTTCATGTGTGGTACTTCAATAATACTGTTTATTTTGTGTCTATCTAATAACAGCTGAACCGAAGTTGGATTCGGAGGGGTCAGTTGCTGACCACCAGTATGCCCTCTCTGGTGCGAAATACGCAAAGGATCTACATCCGATTCAAGACAAGCTGGTAGATATATGTTTACTTCATGCACAGTGATGGAGGTGCATTGTTTTGATTTTAATTTTTCTATGTTTTCTATTGGCTTGAAGTATGTTTTGCAATCTGTTATTTGCAGCTCAGCTATGTGCTAGACCACAATAGGCCTGGAGCAGAGGTCATTGTGAAGGAGGGTGATGTGTGCCTGACCAGAGAGGACTTTTGGAGCCTGGGTCTTCCTCAGTGCATGGAGTCAAATGTAGGTATACTTGAGCTTTCCTCCCAACTTCATCTTGTCTCAAATAAATGGCACAGGTAACTTACTGTTGTTACTGTTTCAGATTGGAAACACGTGCCTGAAGATGGTACAAGAAGCCACCCAAAGACATGTACGGTTTTCAACAGACATCATTGGCCTGCTTTTTTCTTTTGAATAACACATATTTTCTAAATAGCTGTTTAGTGGTGAAACTCCAATCTCGTGAAGTGTGGTTGTCTCTTGTTGTTGAACATACTTCTATGAAGATTTCATTTTTTTTGAAAAACTATCAATATAGGGCAAAGATATATACATCGTGGATATGTATGTGGTTCCTACCTGGAAGTCCAAAACAGCTGACGTGTTGGCCAGTTTTCCAGTAAGTTCCTGTTGCTTGAGACCTATGTTTCTTGAAATTGATATACAGCAACTTAAAATCCCTTGTTTAAAATACTAGGCTGACCAATTGGCCACCAAGGACATGGTTTTCATCCCTGCCTGGAGTCGGCAGCAAGGAAAGGCAGATCACTATTTGCTTTGCGTGAGTCTGTTCCAAATGATCTCACCAGCATGTACAAAATGAACATAAGTTGTGCTGTGTGGTTTTCTTCTGGTGTTTGATTATGTCTAATTTCAGCTATTTTGTCAATGGTTGACAGGTGATCAAGCCAGCAAAGAGAGAGTTATATTTGCTCGACCCTCTTAAGCCAGATGGCTTTGGGGACAATTCCTACAAGGACATATTTAGGTTTTTGTAACATGATTACCCCCTCACCGTTCTGTGGCTTGTATGGGAGTTCTAAATAGTTTATAGTATTCTAATACTGCAGTAACCATCTTGTAGACCAGGGGTCTGAATCTGATCAAATTCATTTATAATATATCTCCATTTCCACAAAGTCTGGAGTGTCCTTAGTGGAACCAAAAGAAAAAGAGTCTGCAACAGGATGCTATGAATTATAATATTCATTTTGTTATAAGCCTTGTTCAAAGGTTGTTTTCAAGTTCAGCTTTGTTCAGCGGCTGGTAAACGTATTTTTGTTTGTTTTATTTTAGCCCCGTTCAGTGGCTTTCATAACTTTCCTCTTTTAAGGCATGCAATAGTTCAATGTAAGGAAATCCAAAAACATGAATTATATTGTGTATAGCGTTCCTTCACCAAATCAATTCCCATGTCTTATCATTTCTTTTGACAGTGACCTAGCGCACCGCATTGCTCCAGGTCAGTGGACAGTAAAGTTCGGCAGAGACGTCAAGGTACATTTCTCCACCATCTCATACACCTGCTTTCACATGTCTTTATTTTCCATTT